CATGCGGATAAGGGGCGAAGCTTTGGTGCCGTGGCAACGGAACAAGTGAAACGGAACGGAGTCGCACTTACATGCTGCGGGGCTGGTGCAGGATTGAAGGATTAGAGGGAACCCACCTAAACCAACAAAAGGAATCATGGTTTGACGACGAAGAATGGTTTGACGACGAAGAGCCAACAGAATTAGAACCAAACATGAAACGTACACCCCTAACGGAGGGCGTGTTTTTTCACTATTATTGTTTGGGTTGGGGGGGGGGGGGTGTGCTCTAGTTCTCTACGTTTCCACTGGAAAAACATCTATTTCCTCTACGTGTTTACGAGGAGAACCTATACTTTCTCTAAGGAGGATCGAGGCAGAAGAGTACGAAAGGAAGGAAGGAAAGAAGGAAGGAAGGACGGAAGGAAGGAGGGAAGGACGGACGGACGGAAGGAAGGAAGGAAGTTTCGTTCTTTCGTTCTTTCGTGCTTTCGTTATTTCGTTATTCTGTTCTTTCGTTTTTTCGTTCTTGCGTTCTTGCGTTCTTGTGTTCTTGCATTCTTGCGCTCATGCGTTCATTCGTGATTTTGTTCTTTCGTTCTTACGAAGGAAGGAAGGAAGGAAGGAAGGAAAAAGGAAATACAGAAAGAAATAAAGAAAGAATGAGAGAAAGAGAGGGAAAGAATGAAACTAATTAAGAAAGAACAAAAGAAAGTAAAAAGGAAAGAAAGAAAGAGATAAATGAGTAAAGAAAGAAGGACACAGAGAAAGAACGAAAGCATGAATTAACGAAAGCATGCAAGGATGAAAGAACGAAATAAACTTAATAATGAAAGAGCGAACGTACAATGCATTGCGTCGCAAGTCTGGGGGGGGGGGGGGCTGCGCTCCGTCTCGGGAGCATGGTGTTTGCAACTGGGGGGGGGGGGAAGAGGAGGTTTTGTTTGGATTCATGCCCTGCAACCCCCTCCCCCCAACCCCCCCGCCCCTTTTGTTGTTTTTTTCTCACTTCATGCCCAGAAGAGAACTTGCCATAAAAGCGTAGGAGTCCTTTCAAGCCTCGTCCCGCGAGCATTGTGTTTGCAACTTTGCCGGGGGGGGTTTGCGCCCCCTCCAATGCACCCCCCTTTTTTTCTCCCCAAACAGGAACCGTTTGGGGTCCTCTCCTCAGGAGAGAAAAAAAAGTGTCACGCGGTTGGGTCCGTGGTCTCCCATGGTCTCCTATCATGAGCGCAATGGGGGTGTCACGCGGTTAGGGTCCGTGGTTTCCCATGGTCCGGATCCGGCCAACATGCCCCTGTCGAGCCCAACTAAACCCGGATCCGACAAGCTTGGATGCAATTGGAATAAGCTCGGTTCCCAAAAAGCAGGATGCTAGTTGAACACGCTCGTACGCTCGGTCCTCAAAAAAGCAGGATGCTAGTTGAACACGCTCGGACCCAAAACTTGGGTATTATTGGAGTACGCTTGGTCCCCAAAAAGCAGGATACTCGCTGAACACGTTCAGTCTTTTCGCACACAAAAGGACCAACCAAGACGCCTTTTTGAAAACTTCAAACCTCGCACGCTGGGCCCTCACGTTGTGGTTCTAGAGCTTTCAGGCCTAACGTCTAGGGACCCCACCCTACGAGCCCGAAGGGAGGGGACATGCGACAAACTTCTAAGGTGTTCAACCGAGCTACTCCAATAGCACCCAAGTTTTGGGGACCGAGCGTGTTCAACTAGCATCCTGCATTGTGGGGCAAGCTTTGGGATTCGGAACACTGTAGAAGCAACAACCTATCCCTTTGGTGTTTTAGCACGTTAAAGCACGTTTTCAGGGCTAGTGTTCCGCGCCCAAAAGCCCTCGCTGGGGGCGACGTCGTAAGCAACTTTCACCCCGTCTGCGCCTTGATGACCAATAGCTCACGCCATGGCGCGAGCTATTTGGTCGTGTTAAGACACGTTTTCAAGGCTGGTGTTCTGCACCCTGTGCTGGTAGCGTAATCCTATAGACTGCCTGCGTTTTGAAACGGTTCCAACAGCCTGTGCTGGTAACGTAAGCGTGGCCCCATAACCCGCCTGCACTTTAAAAAACGGTTACACTAACTTCTAGGGCCCGCACCCTACGAGAACGAAGGGACATGCGACAAACTTCTACCTTAGGGCCTTCACCAAACCCTAGCACGCAGGGGAACGGACTTACGACAAACCTCTAAGGGATATGTTTTGCTTCTTCAGTGTTCTGACTGAAAGTGCAAACGTTAGGAAAACATAGGATGTTTTTGGGCTTGTGCACCCTGTGAAGCCACGATTACCTTCCAGCGCACAAGGGATCAGCATCTCTGTATTTAGACCACCTTTTATTCAGGGGCTGTGAAACCTTTTCGCAGAGCAAGAAGAGTTGGGTACAAACCTGCGAAAAGGTTCTGTAGAAGCGCAAGAACATCCTGTGTGTTTCCTAACGTTTTCACTTTCAGAACACTGTAGAAGCAAGAATTGTCCAAAACTTGGTGCTATTTGAGTACGCTCGGGTCCCCAAAAAGCAGGATGCTAGTTGAACACGCTCGGTCCCCAAAACTTGGTGCTATTTGAGTACGGCCGGTCCACAAAAAGCAGGATGCTAGTTGAGCGCGCTCAGTCTTTCGCGCACAAAAGGACCAACCAAGACGCCTCTCTGAAACCTTCAAAGCTCGCATTCTGGGCCCTTCAAACACGTTATGGTTCCAGGGCTTTCAGGCCTAACCTCTAGGGGCCCTCACCCTACGAGCCCGAAGGGCGGGGACATGCGACAAACTTCTAGGGCCCTCACCAAACCTTACGAGCACGAAGGGAAGGGACATCCGACAAACCGCTAAGGGATACGTTTTCGCGCCTACAGTGTTCTGAAAGTGCAAACGTTAGGAACAACATAGGGGTGTTTTTGCGTTTCAAATTTTTCGATTGGGGGCGCGGAGGGGGTTCGATTCCGCGCAGCAGACACTCAGACACTCAGACAGTCAGACAGTCAGACAGTCAGACGGTCAGACAGTCAGACAGGCAGACGGCAGACAGTCAGACAGTCAGACAGTCAGACAGTCAGACAGTCAGACAGTCAGACAGTCAGACAGTCAGACAGTCAGACAGTCAGACAGTCAGACAGTCAGACAGTCAGACAGTCAGACAGTCAGACAGTCAGACAGTCAGACAGTCAGACAGTCAGACAGTCAGCCATTTGCTCTTGGAGGAGACTTGGGTGCTCACGGGTCTCGTACCCAAGTGCAGTAGAAAAGTGAATTTCCGCTGAAGTTGGGCAATCATAGTGGCAATAGACTGAGTACTAATGGGTCTCCCACCCAACTCCAGTATCTGACTGTCTGACTGTCCGCCGTCTGTGACACCCAACAAACTGAAAAGCAGACAGTCAGACAATCAGACAGTCAGACACTTTTCAGTTTGCTCGGTGTCACACACGGCGGACAGTCAGACAGTCAGACAGTCAGACAGTCAGACAGTCAGACAGTCAGACAGTCAGACAGTCAGACAGTCAGACAGTCAGACAGTCAGACAGTCAGACAGTCAGACAGTCAGATACTGGAGTTGGGTGGGAGACCCATTAGTACTCAGTCTATTGCCACTATGATTGCCCAACTTCAGCGGAAATTTACTTTTCTACTGCACTTGGGTGCGAGACCCGTGAGCACCCAAGTCTCCTCCAAGAGCAAATGTCTGACTGTCTGACTGTCTGACTGTCTGACTGTCTGACTGTCTGACTGTCTGACTGTCTGACTGTCTGACTGTCTGACCGTCTGACTGTCTGACTGTCTGACTGTCTGACTGTCTGCCGTCTGACTGTCTGACTGTCTGACCGTCTGACTGTCTGACTGTCTGAGTGTCTGGTTTTCAGTTTGTGCCCTTTGCACGCTCTCTCAATTTTTCGGGCCAAGAAATGTATGAATCATGTCTATTCCTTTTGGTTCTGTGAATCATGTCTATTCCTTTGGGTTCTGACTCCCTATTAAGGGGCCGGCACTGAAGATTAGGGTAACCCTAAACGCCTGTCAAGTTTTATGTCGCGTTGTTGTTTCACGCGTTTCCCCTTCTTTGCAATCTTACTGTTTGGGGTCTTCGCTGGCATAATTGTTCTCTCCCAAAGCGAACTTGCCTTAAAAGCATCCGAATACTTTCCAAACTTGTGCAATGCCCTGCGTTGCCTCAAGCTCAGTGTGTTGGAAACTAAGGCTCTTGTGAGCATTGGGTTCATGGGCAACGTTCGGGAATGGACACAGGACCATTTCAACCCGCTTGATGGCTTCAAGGTCCATTATACCTACGACGACGTGCACACCGTGCTTTGATTGACGACATCAAATCATCATGGGCGGAAGCTACATCAGCAAGTCGGACAATGGCGCCTCGAGGTTCTGCCGGTACCACTTCCGGCCGCATTTCCTCCAGCACTCCGGCTTCCGGCTGATTTCGTCCTCCTCGCCTGCACCAGCCAGGGTCTTTCATGCAGACCGTCAACGCGGAACAGGTACTTTCGCCCTCGGCTGCCGCTGCGGGTACCGGCGCCGCCTTGGCCGGCTCTGGCGGATGAGTTCACGTGGTGGAGCTCAGTTCAAAAAGGTTGAGCTTAGCCACATGAACGTTTGCTGCTGGCAAACTATCGCGAGGCAGAGCGCGATCGGACGCGCAAAAAACACATCTGGGATTGAGCGTGTTCTACATTCGATGTGTTGTCTTTGGATTTCTTGCCGCCTTTGTTTGTCGATTCATCCGGGTTCGTCGCGTTGATCTGTAAGCAGAGAGCTTGCTTTTGGGCTTCCCCTGAAGATTAGGGAAGTGCATGTGTAGTTGTGTATGGCTGATCATTGCATCTTGTTGGCAGCCGTTGGTTCAACCGAAGAAGATCCCCAAAATCTCAGATATCACGTGCATGCTGGAATATCTACTTATCGACGGCTCAACCGGCGAATGCTTACTCGTGTCAACGCTTGGGCAAAGACTTGGCGTCAATGCATCATCACGCACATCCATTGGAGTCCATCATTAAAGTCACCATGGAGACGGGTGACAAGCCCAAGAAGGCGCATCGAAAGAGGCCGGCTCGAAGTGTTGCGACACTTTCGCAATCCAGGAACTGCCTGCTTTGCTCAACCTTTATGGCAGGGCGGCTGGAACCAAGGCGAAGAAGAAGAAGGACAAGAAACAAGACGGAAAGGCATTCTCGGTTTTGCAGTTGTGCCTGTGCCACAAATGCACCGGTTGCCATCGTGAAACCGTCCTCGAGGCAGAAAAGCACAATCCCAAGGCTCACACATTTTCTGGCGGCACGCGAAGTGTGACTTGCATGAACATATTTGAGGTTCGCAATGGTCGAGGGGCTTGATTGTTTAGCTCAAGCAACTTCGTCTACGGACATCAGCTCAGGTACAAAAGCGTGTGCAGTACACCTTGGAGAGGCAGGCCAAGAAACATAAAGTGCACAAAGTCGACAAGAATCCGGAGGCCGGATCCAGGCCCTAGAGCCTGAGATTGTGCGAAGAGTAGCAGGACCATCCTAAACATCAAGCCTTATGCCCCTATAACCTTAGATCCTCAACCACAGACCCAACAACAAAGGTGCCTCCGCCATTCGTTGTTGTGGTGCAAGGCCCGCCAGGCGGGGCAGCCAGGGTGTAACCCACCATCCCCGACTGCACAACACTGAAACGAGGCACTTTTGCATCGCACTGTTGTCGCCGCGACATATCGCGGGGGGGGAGACAGGTGGTTTAGCCTACTCGCGCTTGCTTGTCTTTCGTTTACCTCTCAGTTTTTCTTTTTATGTCTCTCTCCTTGACGCAAACTAAGAATAACCAGAGACATATGAAAGTCTCACGCATTCCCTCTTTCCACAAGAGAAACCTTAAGCCTTTCTGAAAGTGCACGAAAGACCAACTCTGGTCCTTGCCGTGTAAGCTGTCATATAGCAGCAAACACTTTAAAGAAGTTCCGGAGGTGCGATGTGTGATGATCCGACGCAATCCGATTTCCTTGTCTCGTTTTTCTCCATGACGATTTTGGATTCAGCTGCTTTCTCTCTCCCAGTGATGTGCTTGAAGTGATCCATTCGCCACTGTAGTTTGGGACGCAGGCGTTGGAAAGACGACGCTGGTGCATTCGCTCGTGAAACACTACGCAAAGTCTGCGCCTTACGGAACCTGAAATTGCACTCAACGGGCTCAGGGCCATGCTGTGGCATGTGAGACTGTGGCAGGCAACGCCTGATCCAAATGCGCGGCCCTGCAAACCTGCTGAATGAGGGGTTTTGGGAGGGTGTCGAGGGTTTGACAGGCTTTGGATTCAGTGCTCTAAAGTACTCAGGTCACCCTGGTCAGCGGCAGACACCGCCGCTTGACCATCATCGAGTGTCCACAGGCCTTTCTGCGGGTCGGCCGGACTCCCCGGAGCCTAAACCCTAAACCCTAAAACCCTAAAACCCTAAAACCCTAAAACCCTAAAACCCTAAAACCCTAAAACCCTAAAACTCTAAAACCCTAAAACCCTAAAACCCTAAAACCCTAAAACCCTAAAACCCTAAAACCCTAAAACCCTAAACCCTTCTGTGCGGGGAGTTGGCAGGACATGTCGGCGATGCTGGATCTGGCGAAGATAGCCGATCTGGTGGCTTGGCACATCTTCCGTGCTTGTGAGGCTATCCGTGGCTGAAACCATACCTAGCTTGGCCTTTGCTTTTTCAAGAGAGAGGAAGCACCCCAACAGATCCCCACACGCAATGTCTAGTTGGTCTGGAGTCAGGTGCTGCTTTTGGTCGATGCCTCCTATGGCTTTGAGCTGGAAACCTTTGAGTTCATCAACATACTGCAAGTGCATCGGCGCTCAGAAGACTCTTCTCCACCAGTGTGCGCATCGAAGACAACTGTGGCTTCCAAATTTGAGCTGCAGGCACGGCTTTCCCAGGGTGGGCAGCTGAGGATGGCTCCTGGAACAGACTGTGAACGTCGTGAATCGTGCGTTTCTAGGATGCAGAGCTTAGGGTTCACTGGCGGTGTCCGAGGTCATAGGTGTCTTGACCCACCTTGATGCTTTTCGGGAAAACAAGCAGCTTCGCAAGGTGGGAGAGTTTGAAACCAGACTCGCGGTGTAACGCCTGTGGTTGGCAGGTGAAGAAAAGCATGAAACACCGGTTCTGGTTCCAGCCCCAGACAGCTTTCGCTTGTTCGTGCCATGTTGCGCTGAAGAACAGCAGAGTTCACTAAACTTCTGCGTGGGCCTTCGTGGGCTCTCCGCCCCTTGCGGGATCTACTACCGATACTAAGGGTCCATGATTCAGATCAATCCCATATGAGGACCGAGCTCTACGACGGTGCAAAGCTCTTCTACCTGAGCGGCCTCCAATACGGGCCCACTGCCTTTGAAACCGAAGACCTGAACCCTCAAACGCTTGCGTCTTGCGGAAGAGCCCCAAAATTAAAACCCACAGGCCCTGAAAGGAGCTCCAGGTATCAGGATAAGTATCTTTGGGAGGTTTTCGGGCTTGCTGGACTTCTCGGTGGGTTGTGGCTTCAGCATGTTGGGGGCCGATTTCTTGTTTTCCAAAGCTCTTTCAGAGCTACTTTCAGTACGCCCTTAGCCCTCTATGTGACACCTCCTAAAGTTAGGTTCCGACCAGTGTGGGGGGAGCCGTTCGGTGTCTGCAGGCTTTAGAGTTTTTTGGGTTTAAGGAGGGCGTTGTAGGGTTTAGGGTTTAGGGTTTTTAGGTCTTAGGGTCTTAGGGTTCCCAAACAATCGCAGGCGCTACCATCGGGTTGAGATTCAGAACCTGGCTCGTTTCATCGCTGCTGCTGCCCCAGCTAGAGACTTGTGGCCTGGGAATCTCTCAGCCAAATCCTCCCTGTTTGGGGCTTCAGGTTTCTTGGCTTGGGGTTTAGGGTGCTTTCGGGGGCACTGTGGCTCAAGAGCTTCGAGTTCGTGGCTGGTTCTAAGGAGAAGTGGGGAAGCACTGAGACTAGGAACGGTTTTGGAGCGGGGTGTGTTGAAAGTCCTTGCTTGGTGACCTCGCGTGCCACTCTGAGAATTTTTCAGCTCATGCGAGGTGCAGAAGGTCCCGCTCTTGTCCTGGAGACAGAGCCACCCCTACATCCCGGCACTCCGGCGGGATGCTCAAACATATCCGCTCAAAGGTTTGAAGGTTTAGGGGTGGCGCACCTGGTAGCGTAGTGGTTTCGTCGTCAGAGTTCTGGGGTTTGAGGTTTGGATTGTCTAGTGTAATTATTGGCTCTTTCGATTCAGAGGGAGGTATGGGGTTCGGTTTTTGCGTCTCACCGTGGTTGGAAGCTTGTAGCTTGCGCAAGATCAGGCAAACGACTGCCTTAAACTAAACCCTTAATCGCATACTTTGGGCTTGTGGAAGGCTGCCGTGCTTGCTTGCAACGCAGTAATGCTTTCGTGGGGATTGTTGTAAAATAGGCTTTCATATTATGGACTGAAACTCAACTGCAAAAGGCACCAACTTTTCAGCAAACCCCGCATGTTTATGCCTGGAACTCATAATCTTTTTTGTTTGCATCGAATGTTATTTTGAACCCCAAGCGCCAAACGCAAACGTCTAGCCCTCAACCTCAAGGAGTCACAAAACGCCCACATCTCAGCCTTGAAGCAGCCAAGGTGGGAGGACAAGACAGACCCAACCAGCCCTGAAAGCGCCCCAAGGCAGGAGAGATCGCGAGAGGCAGAGATTCCCATTTTCACATTCGAGACCCTAGGCTTCCAGGCATCTCAACAGCCGCAAGTGGGTCTTTGGGTTCAGGAAGCCAAAAGCCTCAGCTTAGGGGGTTGCAACGCGGGACATCTGGGTCCGAATGCTGTGGGCTTCACATGGGGTGCATTGCAGCTTGGCCTCTGTGGTTCTTGGGTTGGAGGCTCTCAGGCCTCTAGGAAGCACACGCTGCCTTCAGGCGTCTCGACTTGTACGGCTACGTGGGATGCTCGGTTTACCGAAGTCCGCAGGGCGCGCTAAAGCTTCCCGAAGCATGAATTCAATTCCGTGATCCCAAGGTCTACGGTGGCCGTCTGCGAGAAGGCTTCGAGGTGTAGGGCTCAACCCGCGTTGGTTCTCCTGCGCCCTTGGGACCCCTTTACCCTCGCCTGTGCCCTTGGAGGTGCACCTTCCTGGCGTAGGTGGGGCCGGTCTTTGGATCTCAGGCAATGGGGTGGTGGGTGGTGTTCTGCCACAGGTGATTTCAACATCACTTCTATCAAGCGCCTCCCCGATCCGCGCCCACGGCATGTCTTGTCGGGTGATGTCGTACTTGTGTGGATTGGGCTGTCAATGTCAATAGCTTTCTTTTCATACCTGCTACGACTACGATGCAGCAGATGCAGCAGCAGTCCATTGACTTCTTAGTACAGTGTTGCGAGAGGTGTCCACCTCCCATGGAGACGGAGGCCGAGCGGAGGCGAGCCGCCGGCAAAAAGCCCGGAGAGAAGCCCGGGCCTTGAGTGTTCAGGGTGGCCCCTTGCGTATCGCAATGTGCTCGTTTCTTTGCAGGGTGTTGGGGGAGCGGCTCCCCAGCACCTGCGCCTGAGCGAGCGGCCCCACCAGGATGAAAAAGAATGCCCTGCGCACGCTGGCGGAGCGCCATCGCGTCATCTACGCACCGGGCTCCGACATTGGCAGCATCACCGTGGACTCCGAGGCGGCCCCTCCTAAACCCAGGTGGAGGTTTAGGGTTTAGGGTTTAGGGTTTTAGGGTCTAAGAGGGTCAATTCAAGTTTCGCGTTCGGGGCCTTCAAATCCAAAGCCTTCAAGCCTATCCTGTGCAAAGCTCCCGCAGTCGAAACCATTGGCAGGCGATGTACATCTACGTGCCTGATCAGCAGGCAGGTCTGGACGCGCGCAAGTTAGTAGTGGACACAATCCTAGGGCTCAGGGTGGATCGAGAGTTCTGAATGTATGGTCCTGGCTCCAGGCGGGTTTCACCCCTCGGGAGGCAGAGCCAGCGCAGACGCTCGTTCTCTTGTGACTCTCTTGGGATTCTTGTGACTCTTGTGTGTAGTTTTGCGGACAGGGGTGTTGAGATGTTCCGATTCGACAGCTACTGAAGCTCTCTGTTATAAACTCTTAACCCAAGCCCTAACCCCGAACAACCCGTAGAGGGCCGCCTAAACTCCCCGAAGGCATCCCTTATAGAACGACCTTCAAAACGCCTAAACCCAGAGACTCCCATACCCTTAACTAAGGAAAGATTCCCTAAGCCATATAAGGAACCTTCTTATACATTCAGGTACATTCCTTAACCAAGGGGTATTGGAGTCGACTAAACCCTAAAGTGCAACCCCCCCAAGGAATGACTCGCAGCTGCCGGAAGCCGTGCGGCTGGCTGGAAGCCGAGGGGGTGCTGTGTTCTGGGGCTCTGGGGTTTAGGGTTTTCGGGTTTAGGGTTTTTGAGGGTTTGGGGTTGAGGGTTTAGGGCTAGGGCCTGAGGACGGAAGGCCTTTAGGGACTTTACGGGTTGCAGGCTTCTTGGGGTTCCAGGGTTTAGGGGTTTTAGAATGTTGGTTCCAGGATTCTCTTGCGTTGAGGCCTTGACGGTGTGAGGGTTGTAGAGGGCTTGGGGCTAAGGGTTTCATGGTCCAGGGTATGTTGGATGGCTCAGGTTTTTGGAGTGTTTAGGAACATTTTTTTGTGCTCGGATTCGGGTGGGAAGAAGCCCTGAGCATCCGGCGTCAGTCTTACGTCGGTTTTTGGAGTCAGTATTCGCCGTTGACGCGCAGCAAGGGCAAAACGGTCCCAAACCCGTTCAAAATGAATATGTCTCGAGTATCTGCATCCCCTGTCCCCGTCCCCCCTCGACCCCCACGAGGTTCCAGTTCGTTTTGAATCTATTCTCGTTCTGTTCTGGGCCTGAAACGAATTGAAAACGGATTGAACATGGATCCAGAACGGATCCCTAGCAGATCCAAAATAGATCAAACCGTTCCCCCGCAGATTTACTCAGATGGGTCCAGAATTGATTTGGAGTGTTCTGTTACAGTCAAGGTTCAGACAGATTTTTCATAGACATAGACCGCAGTGGCCTGAACCATTTCAGCGACCGAAGGTCAGGGCTTTGCAAACCTCGGACGCAGCTTTGGACAAGGCAGGGGATTTGGAGGGATCTACGAGCCTGGGGCCGAGTCAGGGCTCAGTGTGTTCGGGCTGGCTCGGGTTTTTGGCGCCCTGCGCCTCCACGAGCCCTAAACCCTAAACCTTAAACCCTAAACCCTAAACCCTAAACCCCAACGATTCTTGCGCAGGCTTCGGAAGGTCGAGGCAAGCTGCGCCTCATTGGGCAGACCGCAGTACGCCTGGGCCAGACGGACGCCTCAGGCAGAGCAGGGTTTGCGGTACAGGCCTTGCGGTTTAGGGTTGTGACGGAGTTCGGCGTGTAGAGCTCTTGAATGCTCCGACTTTTTTGAGAAATCAAGCGTCTTGGGCATAGACATTTAGGGCTGTGGCATGCGGGGCAAGCCTGGCGTGCTGGGCATGCAGGGAGTTCACGATATTGGGCATTGAAGTCTTCGTGGTCACAGTGAGAAATGCCCTACATGCCCTTATTCTTATGCTTCATTTCTTTCTGCATCGATCAGTATGTCTCTCCCTCCCCAGCGAAAGGACCCAAATCAAGGCTGACATACCTTGAATATAGAACGCTTCATATTCTGAATCTGATGCAGCATGTTGCAACGACGCAGCTATTGCCGCCGTTGCTCCGAGCATCTCCCAAACCTTAAGTCCTCAACTCCGATGCCCCTAGGTCGAGCGGGAGCTGCTGAATCCCCAACACCACAACCAACCCAACCAAACACCTCAACCAACCCCCAAACATCCCAAACTCCCCGAAAGCCTGGGCCGCTACAGGGAAGCCTGAAGACCAGCACCAGAGGCGACCGGCCCCCGAGGGCGCGGGGGCCTCGACGTCCATTTGAGCTAAGCGAGGGCCTCCAATTGAGGACAATTGAGGACGGCTCGGGGGCCATCTAGACCGTCGAGACCCTCAACATCCCTTAACATCCAAGACCCTGAACCCTTCAGAGTTGCACGAGCTTCTTTTTGAAGCTCCCCCTGGTTTTCAGTTCGTGCTGCACGTGCTTGCTTGCATCTGCTCAACATGACTACATGCCGTGTCCAAGCATTCCTCAAGCACTGGACCGCTAAGCCCTGCACTCGAAGTCCTGAGCTTAATGTGTGACCCTGCGGCGTGCGGATGCGGGTGGCGCTCTCTTCAGCACCCCTGCAAGTTGTACCACTCGCTTGCAATCTGCGGACACCAAACCGGAAGCCCCACCACAACAGGCACCCACCCTACCCAAGATTTTATTGGCAGGTTTGGCAAATACTTTATCCCTCACCCCCCGACCTTCAGCAAACCAGGTACTCGAAGCCAAGGAGGCAACTTGGCTGATGGTTCTTGACAACCCGAAACACTAAACCCTAAAACCCCTTAAACCATTGAACCTCCCTAAACCCCAAGCCCTCAACCCCGAGAGCAGGGCGCGGAGGATGCGGAGGGTGAATCCGGCGAGGACGACGAAGAAGGCGAGGAGGAGAGCCCAGAAGCAGATCCTCCTGAGCAGGCGGACCGACCTCATCATCTGAAGATGGGCACTGTTCTACATGATGGGTCCCTCTTTGGCACCTTACAGCTGGATTCAACGGACTATGCACACCTATAGCCTGTTGGAAGGAGAGCCCTTCAACCTGGGGCCCGGAACCGACAACTTTTTCCGGTTCTAACCTAAAAATCCTAAAACCTCTCACCCTCTTGACCCCTAAGCAGCTCTGAGACCAAACGCCTGGGAAGGATGAGGAGATGCGCGAGCGCGCGCAGCAGCGCTTCGCCCGAGGGCCGCGGCTGGAAGACCTGGCGGCAGCCTCGGGGCTATGGGGGAGGGTACTGGGGGTTTGGGGGTTCTGGGGAGTTGCTGGGGGCGGGGTTTGGGGGAGGTTTGGGGGGGGGGGGGTTTGGGGTGTAGGGTTTATGGCTCTTAGGACTTTAAACTTTAACCTTTTGGGTATTGTAGAAGCTTGACTGCGGAGCCTAAAAGTTCATTGTTTAGGAGGGGTTCAGAAGTCAGCCCTGTTAAGGTGTAGGATGTTTAGGATGACTTAGTAGCTTTGGGACGGCTTGTGGAGCCCCATCCTCGTTCTGTGAGGACCTGGGGCCTGAGGATTGCGGAGGCATGCGTTAAACGAGACCGTAAGAGGCTCCACGCGCCCAGACTAGACCCACTCCGCAACCCAGGACCTGATTGGTGGTATTCGGGTGTCTTGAAGGGTACCTGGGGGGGAGCCTAGCTACGCCCCGTGCGGCGTAAGCTTCAAAGCCCGACAAACCTTGAGCTCGCCAAGCTCAGGTCTACGGCCGGGATCCTGCGGCCGTAGAGGAGCAGTTTGGAGGTGCCAGTCATGTGGTTGCAAGGGTTTCGAGGTTATCCTCTTAGGTGTGGTCATGGACGTTCTTGGGTTTATTACTACAGGACAAGCCGTGCCTGCTGCAACAGGTTCCAGAATGTCTGTAGAGTTTGAGGTAGCACGGGATGGCTTAGCCATGTCTGGCATGCCAAAACAAAGCAGAATCCGGGCCGGCTCCCGAAGAGAGTCCTGAAGCAACCCTCAGTGTCTCGCCCATTTGTCTCAGTGCCCCCTCCCAAGACACATGTAGAAGAAGACGCCTCTTCAAAGGGAGCGCTCCCTCTCGACCGGGAACACGCCCCACGGACCACGACACCGTGCCTCTGTGCTTTGGCTTTGAAAACCAATGAATCCAGATGTTAAAAAAAAGTAAATCCTGATTTAATGGTTGCGTTTGGGTTGGCCCTTGACCTACCTCGACCTACCTTGGCCCCTCCGACACAATTAAATCTGGTTTTAATTGTGTTTCTTTGCATGGGACCGATAGACAATTAAATCCTGAGTTAATGGTCTGGCAGCCTCTCCTGTCAGACTTGTGCTAGTTGGTACCTATTTGCACCATTAAATCATGATTTAATGTTACGAATATTAATATTACTGTTACTTACTATTCCTATTATTGTCTATTACTGTTACTAGTACTACTATTATTATTATTATTGCTGTTACTATTACAATTATTATTGTTATTATTAGTGTTATTATTATTATTATTATTATTATTATTATTACTTTTACTCTTCTTATTATTACTTTTATTATTATTATCATTACTATTACTATTATTGTTACTATTACTATTACTACTACTATTACTATTACTATTACTAGTACTAGTACTATTACTATTACTATTATTATTACTATTATTAGTATTATTATTACAATTACAATTACAATTACTTTTACTATTACTATTAGTATTACTATTAGTATTACTATTATTATCACTATTACTATACTATTATTATTACTATTACTATTATTATTTTTAATTACTATTACTACTATTATTACAATTACTATTACTATTACTATTATTATTGCTATTACTATTACTATTACTACGGTGGATGGAGGAAATCTTGCACCGCCTGTGACCTTGTTGCTAGAGGCTGTGCCTATTTCTGGAGACTACTGAACAGAAGCCCTTGCCACAGGCCGGCCTTGCAAAAGTGGTGCAAGATTTCCTCCATCCACAGTCCCCAGCATGGGCTTTAACAGGGGCTTCAGATTGCACGTTGCCGGCCAACATGTGATTGCCTGGTGCTTCAAAGTACTTCTAGTGGCGACACATCGGGGTCGAGTTCTGTGATGAGTAAAGATGCTTCGGTGCTGTGCTTGTTGGTGTGTGAGCAAGAGTGGCAAGGTTCATTTAGTTGGGCTGCGTGACGGTGCGTCGACAACACGGCATCTGCAGATCCGCATTAAGCGTTTGAGGATGACCAGGTCAGCAAAAAATGCTGGGCACTCAGGTATCACGTGACCCGCAAGGGAGATCTGAGTCAAAGCAATCGCACTACATGTGTAGCGTTGACTGCATTCTCACAGTCAACGTTCAGTCAACGTTCAGTCAACGTTAAGTCAACGTTACAGTCAACGTTACAGTCAACGTTGCGGAAATGCTGGCAGGGCCAGCAAATCCGTGTACTTCACTATAAAACCCAAAAAACTTGATTTTTTTGGCTTTTAAGCTTGGAAGCCATGGAATTGCTGGCAGGCGTAGCATTTCGGCAACGTTGACTGTAACGTTAACTGCAACGTTGACTGAACGTTGACTGAACGTTGACTGTGAAAACACAGTCAACGCTACCAGAAGCGTGACATTCGTTTGAGGGCTTAGAGTCGGTCTCACGCGATACACCTGACACGGAGAAGATTTGCATGGCCTCCGCATGACATGCAGAAATCGACTTGCGTGGCCCCTCCGCAAGCATGACAGGCGCAAGTCGCGAAGTACAGTTCTAGCTGACAACAGCAAGGTGCGACTCACTTCAGTGGCTCTGCAGTTGTCTCAGCTCTCGAAAAACCTCCTCAGTTGAGTCGGTGGATGGAGGAAATCTTGCACCGCCTGTGACCTTGTTGCTAGAGGCTGTGCCTATTTCTGGAGACTACTGAACAAAAGCCCTTGCCACAGGCCGGCCTTGCAAAAGTGGTGCAAGATTTCCTCCATCCACAGTCCCCAGCATGGGCTTTAACAGGGGCTTCAGATTGCACGTTGCCGGCCAACATGTGCTTGCCTGGTGCTTCAAAGTACTTCTAGTGGCGACACATCGGGGTCGAGTTCTGTGATGAGTAAAGATGCTTCGGTGCTGTGCTTGTTGGTGTGTGAGCAAGAGTGGCAAGGTTCATTTAGTTGGGCTGCGTGACGGTGCGTCGACAACACGGCATCTGCAGATCCGCATTAAGCGTTTGAGGATGACCAGGTCAGCAAAAAATGCTGGGCACTCAGGTATCACGTGACCCGCAAGGGAGATCTGAGTCAAAGCAATCGCACTACATGTGTAGCGTTGACTGCATTCTCACAGTCAACGTTCAGTCAACGTTCAGTCAACGTTAAGTCAACGTTACAGTCAACGTTACAGTCAACGTTGCGGAAATGCTGGCAGGGCCAGCAAATCCGTGTACTTCACTATAAAACCCAAAAAACTTGATTTTTTTGGCTTTTAAGCTTGGAAGCCATGGAATTGCTGGCAGGCGTAGCATTTCGGCAACGTTGACTGTAACGTTAACTGCAACGTTGACTGAACGTTGACTGAACGTTGACTGAACGCTGACTGTGAAAACACAGTCAACGCTACCAGAAGCGTGACATTCGTTTGAGGGCTTAGAGTCGGTCTCACGCGATACACCTGACACGGAGAAGATTTGCATGGCCTCCGCATGACATGCAGAAATCGACTTGCGTGGCCCCTCCGCAAGCATGACAGGCGCAAGTCGCGAAGTACAGTTCTAGCTGACAACAGCAAGGTGCGACTCACTTCAGTGGCTCTGCAGTTGTCTCAGCTCTCGAAAAACCTCCTCAGTTGAGTCGGTGGATGGAGGAAATCTTGCACCGCCTGTGACCTTGTTGCTAGAGGCTGTGCCTATTTCTGGAGACTGTGGATGGAGGAAATCTTGCACCACTTTCAAGGGTGCATAACATTCTCTCCCCTCGCCCCCCTTTTAACATTGCGGTGAAAAGCAGATTTTCAAGATTCGGCCCAATGACATAAATCTTGCACCGCTTCCATCGTGACAAGCACCAATGTTAAAAAGGGGGCGTGGGGTTGGCGTCAGACCCGTTTTGGAGTAGATCAAGTCGGCGGTGCAAGATTTCCTCCATCCACCGACTGAACAAAAGCCCTTGCCACAGGCCGGCCTTGCAAAAGTGGTGCAAGATTTCCTCCATCCACAGTATTATTATTATTACTATTACTATTATTATTACTATTACTATTACGATTACTATTACAATTATTATTATTATTACTATCACTATTATTATTATTATTACTATTACTATTACTATTACTATTACTATTACTATTACTATTACTATTACTATTACTATTATTATTATTACTATTATTGTTATTATATTTATATGATGATGATGATTATTATTATTATTAATATTATTACTATTATTATTATTTATATTACGATTAGTATTATTATTATTAGTATTATTTTATATTACTATATTATTAATTTTTTCATTATTACTATTATTATTATTGTTATTAATATTATTTTCTATTATTTTTATTATTACTACTATTATTTGCTATTACTATTATTATTATTATTATGTTAATAATAAATTATTATTTATTATTATTATTATTACTACTTTTACTGTTATTTTTTACTATTAGTATTTTCTTATTATTATTAGTATTATTATGACTTTTACGATTACTACTGTTGTTACTCTTACTATTATTATTATGATTTTTCTATCATAATTTTCAGTATTTTTATTACTATTACTGTTGTTATGATTATTATTATTACTGTTATTATTATTCCTGTTACTATTACTACTACTATTACTATTTCTATTACTATCACGATTATTATCACTATTACTATTATTGTTCTCCTGCCGGTCGACATATGCCTGTCGTTCCCACCTCCGAGGAAGCGTGAGCTCCCTTAGACAATCACCTCACTGCCATCAACATTCCGGTGTAGGTAAAGTTAGTTAGTTGGTTGTCCCCATTTCCATGGGTGTCCTAGTTGTTTAAGTGGTTCCCGATCCGACCCGTATTCAGGCTTGGTCATTGATTCATGTCCATTAAATCTTGATTTAATTCACTGCCTTCCGGTTTTACTTTCGGAATTTTTGCTTTCTTCTTCTTGTTCGGTGTTCAAGTGCATGTGTGCATCTATCATGCATACGAAGACGTGCAAACAAAACCCAACAATTACTGTACGTTCGAAAGCTTTCAACTCGTGGATAGATGCAAGATGTCTTGCTGCAAGGTTTGACGAGGATGAGGACGAGGGCACGGAGGGCGGCCCTTCTTCGAGGTGGGTTATTCCAACTCACTGGTCCTCTCCACCCCTTGCCCCGAGACAATCCTTTGCGAGGCAGCCAGAGAGCACCAGGAGGCCCGAGAGGGGTTAGAGGTCCTGGGGTTTAGGATTTGGGTTGGGGCTGCAGCTGGAGGGTTTTGCGGGCCGAGTGTTCCTACGAAGCGCCTCACGCACAGTGCTCGAGGCAACATCTTTGGTTGCAAGGAGCTTGCAAAAGCAACGCAGCTTGAGAAGCCTCATGAGCCAACAACGAGAGAGGTTGCTGGGCAATGTCGGAGACATGAACGCGCTGGACACGGTGCGCATGCCGATTCTGCCTGGGCAGGCCGGATCTTGAGTTATCGCATCAAGCCGGAGGTGGTTTCGACTGCTGGTGAGCTTCTCCCGTGGAACGTAACTGTAAATGGTTTGTCTCTGGTCTCCTGCTATTATACTTGATTACAGTATGGGACTCCTTATAAGGATTTCCTTCAAGGGGGGCCCTACTGGTTGCAAGCTTGTGCAAACAGTGTGGGGCCTGTCATAGGGCAGGCTGTCACGTGCAATTTCCAAGTCGGCAGAGCTCTGCGAATGTTCGGATGATTAGTAAAGATTGTTGACCCCGTAGAAACAGTCTTTAAATAGGGATGCATCAAGGAGCTTACCTTCACCCGCCATGACCACTAAACCCCGAAAACATGTTCTTCGACAGGAGAGGCCCTGGAGCGAAGAGCGGCGCGAAAGTCTCAAGGCCCCGCCCCAGAGATGCCCCCACCCCTTTGGGGGGTTTTGGGGCTTAGGGATTGGGGTCAAAGAGCGAGGGGAAGAGGTTTTCAGGGTGGCTGTTTTTGGCAGTTTAGGGTTCAGGGTTTAGGCAAAGATCTCCGCCAAAAACAAAGTAACCCTGACAACCCGATGCAGGAAGACATTCAGACACTGAGCCCGAACCGTGGGGTCCCAGAAGTTACTGCGCTATACGAGGGGGTGAGGTTCAAAATCCAGGGCTGGAAGTGCGAGGCTTCAGATCCCACCCAAACCTGAACCGAGGGTTGGCGGAGTATCCTTCGCGAAGCCAACCTCGCGAAGACCTGTACAGCCTCCCCAGGCGCGGAAGTTCATCACTGGCGCGGAGCCTAGATGATCTGACTGCGGCTCAAGGTTTCAAGATGAAGGGTTTCAGGGTTCGGGGTTGTCGGGTGTTAGGATGTAAGATTTGTGGCTTGGGTCGGCTTTTGGGGTTTAGGGACACTCAAGCCTAAGCCCCCCCCTGCTCACTGATGTCTATTCTGCCTACTGCTTTCGAGCCTTGATGCCTGAGCCCACAACCCTAAAGAAGGGAAACCCTGCCAAACCCCAATGAACCAATGTGGCGTCAGGCGGCTGGAGCTCCGCAGAGGAGGAGGAGGATCCGGAGGCCGAGGAGGCCAATTGTGGGGGGGAGGGAGGTTTAGGGTTTAGGGTTTAGGGTTTAGGGTTTAGGGTTTAGGGTTTAGGGTTTAGGGTTTAGGGTTTAGGGTTTAGGGTTTAGGGCTTAGGCGCGTGACAGGTGTGTGTAGAGGCTTGGGGCAGGGGCTTGGGGTGGCGGAGCGCGAAAGACGACCTTGCTGCACGGCGGCAGCAGTGGCGACGACCGACGACTGGGACTACTTCTAGTGGTGTTGGTGATTGTGAAGGTGGTGATTGTGAAGGTGGTGGTGGTGGTGGTGGTGGTGGTGGTGGTGGTGGTGGTGGTGGCAGAGGCGGTGGTGATTCTCATTAGTGTTCGTTTTGGGATGTCGTGATTGGTGCGAGTAGTAGTTCTTTTGCCATTGTACGCTCGGCGGTTTGGGACCTTCCGATGCCTCGAAGCCCATCAAGGCCCTGGAGCCCTAAACCCTCTTGGCCAGGCAGGGGAGAAGGACAACGACAAGAAGGAGCCGGTATCTCTGCCTCGCAGGGCGCTGTAAGCAGAGGTCTTGACACTTGTAGGCTTCTTCCTTTGTCCCTATCCGCAAGCCGTGCTGTTTTTGGAGGGGCCGGGGTGCAGAACCCGGAAAAGCACCAGGAGGGAGACCCAGAAGACGGAGAGAACCCGGTGGAGCCGAAGCAGGTGGGCGCGGCAATGGGGAGAATAACTGGGCTTGCAAGGTTCTTGTTTTGGTAGGCTGATTATTCTGCAAACGAATTTGCACGAGAACTGTAAGCCCAACGCCTAAACCCTGCCAAGCCTACCTGCGCCTGAGGCCTTGATCCCACAAAGCCTAAGTTCCAAAACGCGTGTGTGTTTCACGGACGACAAATCGGGCTGACTGCCAAGAAGACTTTCGATTGTACTTCCTACCGTGCTAGACGGTAGACCGCTGCATCTTGGTCTTCAGAGGTCCTTGTGGGTATCATGTATTTCTGCATTTGTCGTCGGTTTTTCCTTACTACGTTTCAGAGGGTCCTTTTTAGGAATTTGAGGGTCGACAGGGGGGCCCAGCCTAGGAGGGGAGAGGGAGCCTACGTGCACAGGAGGAGGGCGACACTCCGGACCCGGGCCTTTTAGAGGGCTTCTCCGACAGTGCCGCCGGCATGTTAACGCCTTGTTTTGAGTGCTTCTGATGAGAGTTTAGGGTTTAGGGTTTAGGGTTTAGGGTTTAGGGTTTGGGGTTTAGGGTTTAGGGGAGTGTCCTCGTCTGGGGCGTTCTGAGGTCTGGTATCTTGGGCCCACAGTGCTGGTCAAAGCATATGTTCCTGATAGGCTTTCCCATCGGCACCTTCGTGCGAGTGCGGCTGGAGGACCGCTAACCCGTCCGAGTGCATGCAGCATGACATGCCATTTTTATTTGTGTTTTTTCAAGACGTTTTGTTAAAAATAGCCGGTGGCATCGGATGCTGCAATTCCAAAAAAACTCTCCCAAAAGCCTAATGGGCATCAATCTCTTATCCCTTCTGTGCGAGCTCTAGCACGCGACCCCCTTGAAATGCCCAACTCGAGCGCATGCTGGCAACCTCTCTGAGCAGGATGTTCCTGCTGCCTGCGTTACGGCAATGCGTGGGGAGAGGCACGCCGACCTGAAGTCTCCATCCCTGGTGATGATAGGAGTCTCTTCGTGGTGATTCTAGTTGACACAGCCTCTATCTTCAAGGCAATAAGGAAAGGAATCATGGATGATCAAAGGAAGAACTGTGGGTTTGTCGTCCCTCGAAAGGTGGGAGGGGTGACTGCGGTCTGCAAGTCCGCCTTTGCTGCCGAGGCCGCTGATTCTCGGCGGTTTGTTGCCGGGTGAGTCGCGCATGGGCCTGGTGCAGGGCTTAGCGCCACACCTCCGCGCGGATCCCATTCAGTGCATTCAGCGCATGACCTTTTACCTTTCAAGGGCTGCATGCATTCAAGGTGGGGGGAATCCGGGAGGCCCAAGAAGGGTTTCTGCTGGGTGTTGATCATTGGCTTCTTGCTGGTTTCGGGGCGGAGGTCTCTCTTTCGTTTGATCACGAAAGCTAGCCCCTGAGGAGCTAGCGGAGTATCTTACCTAAGCGAAGCTTACAACCTGAAGGGTATACAGGGCCCCCGGAGGCTCCGCCACGAAACGCAGCAAACCCGGTCGGTTTCCGGGTGGCGAACACAGGTTTTGGGGCAACGGGCTGGCGTTCATTTCTTTCGTATATTGGGTGCAAATGAACGCCGTTTTCTGTGGATCCCAGGCCCTCGAAAACTTCCCAAGTCCCCCAAGAAAAGACTCAGAAGCCTTGATGTTGATGTGAGTCTGGCGTCCCTCAAAGCTGGATTGGACAGACTTTCATGATGCTCGCGCTGGAACTCCCAACGGGCTCCGCGCGGGAAAAAGGTGACGGCCTCATGCCTTGGCGTAGGCTTGTCCTGATGCATAGTGGATGCCCTGTTGAAAGAAGCTCTTCCGTGGGGGTACCTTAACTAGCTTTCGTCCCAGGCCCTCACCCTCAAGTTGAGGTGGGTGTCGAAAGCAGGATCTTCGAGCAAGTCGAAGCATTAGCCTCTGATCATGGCGCTTGCCATACCCCACGGACCCCAAGGCACCTGGAGCCGCGAACGCCCGTAAGCCCCACACCCCAACACCCCCGAACCCCTGGCACCCCGAAACCCCATATGCCCTAAACTGTGGGATTCAGGGTGAAACCCCAAGACCTGCCACGAACCATCGAGGTGCAGACCAGGGTCAAGAGGCATCGATGGCATCCGAAGCTGCTGAAGAGCTCCGATGCCCTGCTTCTGTCGGTCGGCTGGAGGCGCTTTCAGATCCTCGGCATGAAATTTTTCTAAACGCCGCGTTCAAAGCTCCATGGGAAAAAACCGACCTGTTCTTGTGAGATGGGGAGACCTTGCCAGCTGTGATGCTCATGACGCTTGCTTGCTGGCATATCCCAGCTGGGTGGATGCCTGGGATGATGTTCATGACGTGTTGTGGGAAAAAAATGGAACATGCCCAAGACCACGGCGCAAAGCGAGCATCATGAGCATCAGCTCTGAAGGGTGGCAGAGTGCAAGAAGAGGCGGGGAACGTTCTTGGTCAGTTCATTGCTGCAAGCCAGGCTCCCTTTTGGGTAGCCTCCGTGTGTCACAACCCAAAAACTGGTCGGATGAGGTCAAGGAATCTTCCTTCCCTCCCAAAATTCTGTGGCCTAAGGGTATATTATGCCACCTTAGCCCCCGAAAAAGTCAGTTTTTTATCAGTCCAGCCCTTAGCGCGACCCTTAACCGGCCCAGGACCGTGCCCTGCTTCTCCTTGGAGGACCGGGGTGAGAAGCGTCCCGACCTTACATGGGGTTTGGGGACACTTGGGGGGGGAAGGGGGCGGTTGTTTCTGGGGACTCTTCGGGGGCGTTTTCGGGGTTTGTTTCTGTCGGGTTGAAGAGCTGTTGTCATGAGTTTCTCCCATTGAAGGGCCCCATTGTCGAAATGACTCCCCACGATGAAAGCAGAGCCCACAAGGGGACACCAAGTTCATATTAAGGGTGGTGAGGGTCCATAGGGGTCGGGGAGGGCGCTTGTTCTTCCGCCTTCGGGAGGCAGCTTGCGGGATTTTTTGGGCGGGTTTCGGGGGTTTCGGTTTGCCCTATGCGGGGTTGATCTATAAGTCATGGGGCCACAGGCTGAAAAGGGGCACGTGATTTGGATCAGACCCCCCATGTGTTTTCATGACCTCGGGGCATGTAATGTGTGTTCTTATAGTGGCATCCTTGCCGAGGCATGCGCTACCTGAAGTACACTCTGGAGCATGCCCACTGCACCATGACCAGCAGCGCGCCGAGTGTATTCCTACCTGAACCTGACCCCAGGCAAGGCAAGGTGTGGCGGAATCTGTGGGCAATTTTCTTGCGAAGCGGAGTCCTAAGCCCAACGGTTACGCTCCTCCAAAATCCACCCCTGCACTCGAAACCCAAAGCCGACATCCAGTTCCAAACCCGCCCTTGGCATTTTCTGAGGCTACGGACCTATGGTTCCACCCAATACGGGAATCCTTGCGTTCAGGACCCTTGGATTCGACTTTTCAGAGGTAGGGTTTAGGGTTCAACTCTTTTTTGGGCTGCGGGGTTGTCGGGGGCTGTAGGGTCATGATCTCTACTACACCCTAAACTACTCCGTTTTTTGGGTTTTCGGGGCTTCGTGCGCAGAGCTTCCCACCAACGACTCGGAACTGAACAGGAGCTGGGAGAAGGTGGGCCATTTTCGGGTGTGCGCCACCGGTGTCGCCTGAGGCTCATCTTCTGGGCACTGAGCTCGCTGCCGAGTTTTCTCGTATCTTATCTCGTCTTATCTCGGAATGTGGTCATCCTCATCATCCTCACCATATGTATATATGTATATGTATGTGTATATGTATCTACACGCAGAAACAGGCATATCAAGAGGTATCCAAAAGTATGAATATGCAAATGGAAGTATAAATACGTACAATACATGTAAATGTCAATATATATATATATATATGTGTATATATATATATGTATATATATATATATATATGTATATGTATATATATATATATATATATTTATTGATACATGCATAAATAAACACATACATAAATAAACAAATCAATAAATCAATAAATAAGTAATATATATATATATATATATATATATATATTTATGCTTGTATATATATATATATATACATATATAGATACTCTACGCCCCCACCCCATCCCACCCCACCCCGCCAAGACCCACCTTAAAATCAAGGTATACATATATGGCATCTGCTTCAGCATCTGCACTCACAATCGTGTCCCGCACATGTCCCTGCACATGTCCACGAACTGCGGCGATTCGGGCCCGACTGAATTCAGTCGTTTTCGAGTCAATTCAATCGGCGTCCCCTTTTTCCTTGGATCCAAGATTCCCTTAAAAAGTTCCTGTGATATCTTGAATCGTAGACCTTGGACCCGACCCGGGCCGAGTGAATTCTTTAGGGTTGGGGGGGTGGTGGGGGAGGCTGGGGGGGGGGGGGGGGGCGGGGGAGGGGGGAATACCATTGGGGGGCAGACCGACAAACCGCGAACAGCGATCATGTATATATATATATATAGACATATATACATATATATACACACACACACACACACACACACACACACACACACACACACACACACACACACACGCTACCACCCACCACCACCACTACCACAACGCCGCCGCCGCCACCACTGCCCGCCACCACTACTACCACTACGACGATTACTACGGCTACCACGACGACGACGGTCTACGACGACGACATAACCTGCTACTATGCTTCTGCGCTACTACCCTGACTGCACTATTTGTACTACGCTTAGTAATTGCTAGAACTGTTTTCGTTTGTCTGGTAGGGCGGGTGGTCAGGTAGGGCGAGCTGTCGACGTTTAACGTGTTTCCATGCCCTTCCGTCCTCCGTCCATGCCTAAACATTTACAAGCTTACAGGGTCGTGGACCCTAAAGCCCTCTTAATTCTGGAGCCCTAAACCCCTCTCAACCTTTCGAACCCTCTAAGCCCTCAACTTTCGGTGAGGTCATGGAAGCCGCGCCCAACTTCGACGTGAAGAAGAAGCTGAAGCTCGTCGGAGAGTCGGGAACCCGGTGGTTGTTCGGGTTTGGGGTGTCCAGGTTCAGGT